AATATGTAGTCAAAACAATAGGGCCAAATAATCCATGGTGTACTATTTACAAATCAAGTCAAAAAAATAAAATGGAGTAAAATTCTTAAAATATTAAAAGCCAGTGTCAGTTTTACACCATAAGGCATTTGAGATCACAGAGTCTTTTATGTATTTAATCAAGTAAAATTATATCAAAGGGAAATGAAAACAGCCCATTGATTCATACAGAATTGAAGAAAATCTTGGGCTTTACTGAAATTATCTGAAACTATTATTTAAAAATATTTGTAATAGGTTAAAAGAAATTTCTTAAATTAATGTAAAATTAAGGAACTATATTCTGAGAACAGTATTCCACATGGCAATACATGCATAAATGACTGAAAAACAAAAAAAGATCAGATAACAATCTTAAGATTCTTCTAAGTTTAGGTATGCTTTAAAAATTTTGTTAACTGTGATGAAGATACCACTAACAATGCAATACAAAAGATGACGACATGCCTCTCCCAAAACAGCATAAAGGATTGAATTTTTCATGAATCAATGATATCAACCTGAACTTTGGTTATTAAAGTGATATCAAGTCCCACAAAGACATGGACCAAGCATAGTGCTCAGCAAAGCTGGCTGCCAGTTGAGGCACCAAGAGAAAACTGGGGTGAGTACAGAGATGATCCATGCAAATATGCCACACAAATACATTTATTGTAGTTAAACAAAAATTAAAACAAAATTTCTGGAACAATAGGAAGAGCTAGAAAAGGATCCTTTAAGTTAATTCATTGAACCAACAAATATTTATTAAATTCTTACTTTTGATCACATGCTAAAGCCTTTAACCAAGACAAACAAGGGTTTCCACTTTTGTTGGGAGTGAGATGACTGATGAAAAATTATAGAAATAAAACAGGGTATTTTCCAGAAAGCAGGGAGTAAGACTGATATTACAGAAGGTTATGATAGAGGCAGCTCTCTTGCTTTACATTGAAAATGCAAGGGGGAAAGGGAGAGAGATCTGTCTCTTTAAAGTAAGGAGTTATGCATCTAGACATATCAAAACAGCCAACAAGCTTCCTACAAAAGGGCTAGAGATTTTATAAAAACTTCCTCTGTAACATTCTGCTTCTACTTAATAGGATGCAATATATAGTACTAAAACAATTTACTTATTTCCATAGTTTAAAAAAAAATATGCGATCTATCCAAGAAAGCTACCTGGTTGAGAAAGCTCTGGCTGAGCTACTGCATCTTCCCATTATACGAATAAAATAGAAACAAGGCTTTAGAAAACACAGATGAAGGAGTATTTACCATGTTTAACAGAACTAAATTATTTTTGTACAATTTTGTTCTATCTCTGAAGCAAAGCAAAACATCCCATGCCAAATTCTTCAATAAGCCCTTTAAGATTGTTTTCCAATGACAAGAACAAATGAGTACTGTTAATGACTTTCAGATTTAAAGCAATAATTCTCACATAAAACAAAATTTTCCTTAAGATTTGCCAAACTATTCCTCTCTAGACAAATTGCATCCTTGCACTAAGAATTTTTCACTGTATTATCCAGGCTACTTTTTTACTTTGGAATACAAACTAACAGAACAGGCAATATTTCAAGGGATGAGGAGTGGGGAGCCAAGAAGACATTTTTTATTTCTTATAAGTCAATCTACACTGAATTACAGATACATTTGGCAGTATGAAAACTAGGGTTTTAGTGCAATGGTGCATATCTCTAATCCCAGTGGCTTGGGAGGCTGAGGTTCAAAGCCAGCCTCAGCAACTTAGCAAGACCCTGTTTCAAAATAAAAAGGCTCAGAGGTTAAGCACCTCTGGGTTCAACCCCTGGTACCAAAACAACAACAAACAACTTAAGGGTTTTATCACCACATAAACCTATACCTTTTTTTAAGCATCACAAAGAATGGTTGATTTGGATTCTTATTTTTAGCAGAAAAAAACACTATCAGTTTAGACTACCTGTCTCATGTTGAGAAAGAGTCATTACCTCTTCTCTATACACTATAGATTCTTTTGGTTGATATATTCTTTCCATAAGAACCTCTGTAGATATAAGGGATAAAGGGTAGCATTATGCGAATCTTATATACCTAAAGAAGAACAGTTTTAGAAGACACCAAATTGTATAAGGAGTATTATCTTCCAAATGTCTTCAGGGCAAGGTCTATCTTATTAAATGTACAGCATCTATAAATGCTTAAATTTTTGGCAGCAGTACTAAGCCAATTTTCAGATGAGTTGGAAAGGATTCTGAAATCAAGGCAAGTTAAATTTTAAAAAATCAAGACTTAATTATAAATTAGAATAAAATAAGAAAAAGTAAATATAACAGAAAATAAGCTAAGGTTAATTAAAATCTGCATTCAACACACTTTAGTACTGAAGATCAGGAATAAAAAAAATGAAATCTCTTTCTAAGATGTAAATCAAGAAGTTAAAAAGTTGTTTTAAAAAAAAAAAAAAAAAAAAAAAAAAAATCTGCCTTTTTCTTGAGAAAACCAAACTGTCACTACATTAAATGAAGATTTTCATGCTGGAATCTAACTAAACTAAGTCATAGTAACTTAGCTAATATTTTATTTTTTTGAGTATTTATGCCAAATGGTCCACAATCATCTCACAATCTATATGCTTCATCACATGACAGGATAGAGATGAAACATATGAAGACTGTAAGTGTTACGGTTTGGATATGAGGTGGCCCTTAAAAGCTCCGATGTTAAGGCAGGAACACCCAGAACTGAAATGACTGGACTGTGAGAGCTGTAATGTAATCAGTCCATCATAGTTTGAACGGACTAACTGGGTGGTAACTGCAGGCGGGTGGGGTATGGCTGGAGGAGGTGGCCATTGGCGGCAAGCCCTGGAAGGGTTCATCTTTCTTAAATCCCCACCTTGCTTTCTGGTCACCATGGGCTGAGTAGCTTTCCTGTGACAAGCCCTTTGGCCATGATGTTCTTCTGCTTCACATGCAGCCCAGAGTAAGGGAGTGGCGACCTTATTAAGTCATGAAAACATAAAAACAAAGGAAACTGAAGAGGAGTCATTAGAGATCAACTGAAGATACAGAAAAGATAATCATTTTAATATTTTCTCCTAATTAATTAATTATCTGCAACTCAGTATTTCTCTGGGAGAGAACAGCTATAGTCTCTAGCAGAAAAAACCTTTCTGGATTCCACTGAGTAACTTTGCTAGTGTTTCCTCCCCATCTTTCTGTGTACACATATGAGAGTGTACATGAATATACATGAGGTGTACATGCACACAAACACAGAGCTTCAAAGCCTGTAATAAGTCTTCACTATGGAAAAATATAAAACAACACTCCCTGCATAGCTTAAGGGTTCATTTGTCATTTTTTCACTTTTAATAATTTTTTTCCTACAAGATAAAAATTATGGAATTCAATGAAAAGGAAAACAATCACAGGATCTGTTAGAGTTTATCATGAGAGTCTAGCAGGTGCAACTAGAGCATGTCAGGTCAAGATTTTAGGTGGCAAATTAATAGTTCTTAGGATCATGAGCCAGTTCTCCCACCTTTCTGGACCCTGATTTTCTAAATTGTAGAATAAGTATATTAAAAGATATCAAGATGACCCCATCCAGCCTAAAAAACATGGTTCTATGATCCTATGCATGCTATTTCTAGGTAAAGACAAAAAGGTTCAAATCAATGATTTGAAAGCTAGGTATAGTAGAGCCATTTTGGAAATAAGGATTGGCAATTCTCAGTCTAATGTTCTTAATGATATAAAAGCTTATATTCTTGTGAATTATGAAGATACTACTTTAAAAAAAATCCTCTATTCCTCCTTTTCTCCAATTTACATTTTCATGTATGGCCACACCATGGCTATGTTAAAAAGTGGAACACATACTGTGCAGTGGCTAACTAGGCTATTCTGCACAACATGTCCCTATTCCTACTGGACATCCCACAATGTTCTAATGAGCTCAACTTTTTTTTTTTTTTTAAGGCTGATACTCTATGGCAGTTGAATGGGTGTATATCCATTGCCTTTGGCCCTGCTTCGTCTTCTAGTTACTGATATTGCAAAGACTTTGACAGTCACACGGTGGGAGACTCTTAAACAACAGACTTCTCAATTACAGAAATAATTATCTTGAAATCCCATATGAACAGTTATATAAGAGACAAAGTAAAGATGGGGGGATATGGATATAGAAAAAAACAACTGTTTATCATTTGTTTACTCTCTACTAGGATCAGACCAATTAATTTTAGTGCATGCTACCTATATACATCTGGAGTTTTTTTCCTACATATTTAATTTACACACAAATGTAAAAGGACAGCTTATTTGAGACTTCATTCAAACACCTAAAAGTGTTATTCATATTTTGTTGAAAACAGTATTATAATGCTTGTAATACAAGTCACAGTTTTTCTTGACAAGTCTAATGATGGCTAGTCCTAATAATAACTGTTTAAATAGTTTTTTATATTTATAAACAATGTAAGATATATAGTAAGGAGATAAATTTTTAATAATATGATATATAAAATCCAGAACTGTCCCAGCACTAGGCTAAATTTCTACAGTTACATGACTCATTTTATCCAGGCAAACAATAATACCAATATACACTGAGATTTACTCTTCAGAACTCACACTGAAATATCTGTCAAGAACTTTGATCAATGTTCAGTTAATATATTAAGCTTCATTACTACCATCTCATTCTTTAAAAGCATAACTAAAACACCATTTTACCATTTAGCCCATTTTGAAGAAAATGATTTTGTCTATGAAAAAACTTTAAGGGCAAAGGCTAATTTATTATTAAAATACATTCTAAACAATAAAGTAAAAGCTTCCTTTAATCATTTTTTTCAGCTTAGCAATCTTGCAATGATTTATTTTCAGGATACATACGCTTTTTACAATGCCTTGAATTTCATTCAAATTACTGAATTAAGGAAAATCAACAACTAGGAATAATGAACACACAGTGATGTAACTCACCTAAATAGGGAATGCAAGGTGTCATCTTTAAGCTACTTATATAGTCTCTGAGTCTTTTGTAGTTATCTTCTTTACTCATTACATATTCTAATTTTTCAAAGGTAGTTTTGTCTTTTCGACTTAATAACTAAAAAACAAACAGAAAAGCCTAGGTTATTTACAAGTCTCGTTTTATTGTAGCAAAGATCTGAAGTTGTATTTAGTACAAATTTGGATTTTAATTTCAAAGTTATACTTTCTTTAATTACATTTTGGTAGTATACAAGTAAAAATCAGGCATGTCTATTAATAACTCAAAATTATTTGAAAATATCCTTTGTATGTACATAAAATTATAAACTAAGTAGTAAATTATAGTACATTATTTCTATCTTTGCTATTCTAAATGACACAGCAATCTTGGATCACTTTCCTAATTTAAAAGATGTATTTATATTCATCTCAAATGCCCAAATATTTTAAATGACTACCCCCTCAAAATAATAAGTCATGCGTGCAGAATCATTAAGAGATACTGAATTTTGTAATAAAAGTCAGTTTTTCTTGACAAGTCTAATGATGGCTAGTTCTAATAATAACTGTAAAACTTATAATAAATTAAACTCACAATAGTGTTAACTAAAAGGTTCAGAAAAAAATGTATATATTTTCCATTCTAAAGATAGGAACAAATTTTTCCTTAAACATATGAAGTTATTATTTCACTACTATGTAATAAGATTTCACCTTCATTTCATGTCAAAATACTGTTATTTAATTAATTAATTTATTTTTATTTATATATGACAGTGGGATGCATTACAATTCTTATTACACATACAGAGCATAATTTTTCATATCTCTGGTTGTATACAAAGTATATTCATACCAATTTGTGTCTTTATACCTGGATTTTGGATAATAATGATCATCACATTCCACCATCATTTCTAACTCCATGCCCCCTCCCTTCTCCTCCAACCCCTCTGCCCTATCTAGAGTTCGTCTATTCCTCCCTTGCTCCCTCTCCCTATCCCACTATGAATCAGCCTCCTTATACCAAAGAAAACATTTGACATTTGTTTTTTTGGGATTGGCTAACTTCACTTAGCATTATCAAAATAGAAAATATCGAAGGCATCGACAAATTTCTAGAGTCATATAATTTGCCCAAATCGAATCAGGATGATACACACAATTTAAACAGATCAATTTCAAGTGATGAAATAGCAGATGCCATCAAAAGTCTACCAACCAAGAAAAGCCCAGGACTGGACGAATAAACAGCTGAGTTCTATAAGACCTTTAAAGAAGAACTAATACCAATACTCTTTAACTTATTTCAGGAAATAGAAAAAGAGGCAGGATACTTCCAAACTCATTCTATGAGGCCAATATCACTCTGATTCCAAAACCAGGCAAAGACACATCAAAAAAAAAAAAAAAGAAAGGAAGGAAGGAAGGAATAAAAATTCAGACCAATATCTCTAATGAACATAGATGCAAAAATTCTCAATAAAATTCTGGCAAATCCAATACAAAAACATATCAAAAAGATCATGTATCACGATCAAATGGGATTTACCCAGGAATGCAAGGTTGGTTTAACATATGGAAATCAGTCATCCACTCATGAAGATGTCTGTTCCTATTTTTCAGGGTCTCAAAGACAGGTTCTAGACATAAGAGTATTCTGATACCTAATCCACTACACTTTCTAGTATTACAAATAGTTCAGGTGGGATCTGTTTTTCATACTCAAAGATGCAGATTAACTGCTAATTATCTCTATCAAAAAAATGAATAGTATCCCTCTTTAAAATATAATTCAAAGAGCCCTTTGCTATAACATCTTAGACAGATATTCTATGGTCTAAAACAGCAGTTTTACAATCTTCCCCTGGGCCCACCTGAACACACTTTGATTAGCATTCTCTAGATTGGGTGTGAACCCCTGCTTGCTACCATCCTTTTCTCATGCATAACAAGCAGTCAGATACACAAAACAGGGAATATTGTAGGGATTACAATAAACCTATCTTCTTTTTCCTACATCAATTATTCAAAAACTTTGGTACAATATCAAGAGAAATAAGTTACTGAATTCTTAATTCATCTTGCCACATCTGAAAACTAAAATTATAGTAAAGTATATAAATAACATATTTTGCAATTTCAGAATAGATAAATAATCAGATTATAGGATTTCATCTGAGATGCGGTAGAATCATTCAAAAGAATAATAAATATAAAGAATTAATTAGGGGCTGGGGTTGTGGCTCAGTGGTAGAGCACTCGCCTAGCATGTGCGAGGCCCTGGGTTCGATCCTCAGCACCACATAAAAACAAATAAATAAAGATATTGTGTCCAATACCTTTTAAAGGTATTTACAACTGAAAAATAAATATTTATTTTAAAAAAGAATTAATTAGATGTTAACATAGGTAATTTCTCTAGTGGTAGTTCAAACTTGATATAACTATGAAGTTTTGATTATTTTATGTTTATTATACTATCAATTCATTATATTCTCCCCCTCCAGGAACAGAAAGGGTGGAGAAGGTCAAAGTACTTCACAATGTTCCACCTCAACATGATTTTGGTTCCATCCTTCTTTTGGCCAAGAGTAAGACAGATGGGGGCAAACTCTTCATGCTTTCATTGATGAAAAAGGGGACCACAGATTTCCAGATGTTTCTGGTTAGATCTCTATAACACCTTAATATCACCATCTGCCTGCTCATGTCAATCACCAATATTTTCAGATTACCCCTCATCCCCTTCATATGCCTTCCCATACAATATGTATGCATGTGTGCATTTGCCTAGGTAAGCATTTTTTAAATCTTGGCCTTGGATGCAGATTATAATTCTTCGATTATGAAACTCAATTATCGTTTGCCCTTGGTATGACTTTGTTAGTTTAATTTTTAATTTATAACAAACGTACATGTATCACCTTTCTATATAAGAACTACATATCAGTAACATTAACGTTTTGTATTTTATATTCTAGTCTTTCATTCATCTGACAATGATTTAAAAAAATAGTATAGAGGCTTATATTAATTTTTTTCCTCCAAACTGATACCTGCTCCAATTAATAAACAGTCCTTGTTTCCTCACTGATTTACAGTGCTGTCATATGTCAGAGTTCTAAAGCAAGGATTTATTTCTATGATCTTTATTCTGTTTCATTTGAAGATATACACTGTTCAAATTATATAATAATCTTGAAATTGGTGAGACCAAGTGCCCATGTCCCTAACCCCCATTTTTTTCAGTAATGTCTTGGCTCTTTCTAAATCTGTGCAACTCCATATAATTTTATAACCAATCATTTCCCTCCCCAGAATTATTAGTTTATAAACGAGAAAATAAAATTGTATATATTCAAGGTGTAGAATGTGTTTTGACATGTGTATATTGTAAAATGATTATCAAGCTATTAATATACCCTCATGTAGTTACCTTTACGTATGTATAAGTAAGAACATTTACGATCTTAGCAAATTTAAAACTATACAATATAGAATTATTAGCTATAGTCACCTTGTTGTATATTAGATCTCCAAAACTTACTCTATATAACTGCCACTTGGTACCTATTGCCCACCTTCCACTTTCTGCTTCATCTTTAGATTACACACACAAAATATAGTATTTCTCTGAATCTGGCTTATTTCACTTAGGATAATGTTCTTCAAGATCTTCTAAGCTACTGCAAATGACAGAATTTCCTTCTTTTTAAGGCTGAATGGTATTCCACTATGTACATATATCATATTTTATCCATTCATTTGTTGACCCTTGGTTGCTTTCATATCTTGGCTTTTGTGAATAATGCTGCAATGGACATGCAAAGTGCAGATATCTCTTTGAGATACTGATTTCAATTCCTTTGCATATATACCTACTAGTTTAATTGCTGGATGTTATGGCAAATTTATTTCAATTCTGAGGCACCTCCATGCTATTTTACCTAATGACTGTCACAACTTGCATTCCCACCAACAGTGTACAAGGGTTCCTTTTTCTCCACACCCTAACATTTATTATCTCTTGTCTCTGATTATCACCATTCTAACATGTATGCAGTGACACGTTGTGGTTTTGATGTGCATTTACCCTGATGATTAGTAATGTTGAGTACTTTCTCATATACTTGTTGTCATTTATGTCTTTTGAAAAATGTCAATTCAGATCCTTTTGCCCATTTTTATTATTTATTTATTTATTTTTTAGTTATAGATGGACAGCATGCCTTTATTTTATCTGTGTATTTTTTATGTGGTGCAGAAGATCGAACCAAGTGCCTCCCACGCCCAAGGCAAGTGCTCTGCCACTGAGCTACAGTCCCAGCCCCCTTTTGCCCATTTTTAAATGTTGTTTTCTTCCCCTTGCATTAGATTTTTGGACTATTAACCCCTTAGTAGATGTATGTGCAGCAAACATCCTCTCAATTCTGTAGACTCTCTCTGCACTGTGGATTGTCTTCTTTGCCGTGTAACAACCTTTTAGTATGATGCAGCTTCATTTGTCTATTTTTGTTTTGGTTGATTGTACTTTGTTGCCTAGATAATGATTTTTTGGATATAGGATTATATGGGGTCTTAACACCAATGTTAGGAAGCTTTTCTTCCATCCCCCTGCATGCCCCCCAAGTAGTTTTATAGTTTTAGGGCTCACATTTGTTAAGAATTGAACCTTTTTTTATGTTTTTTTTTTTTTTTTTTTTAAATATGGTCTTTAGGATCGAACCCAGTATCTCGCCCATGCTAGGCAAGCGCTACAACATTTAAGTTTTTAATCCATTTTATTTTTGTACATGATGTGAGATAAGGATCCAATTTCATTCTTTTGCATGTGGACAACCAGTTTTCTAACACAATTCCTTGAAAAGACTATCCTTTCCTTATACTACATTGAGGCACTTTTGTCAAAGATCAGTTGACTGCGTATATTGTAAAATGATTATCAAGCTATTACTATCTATTTTATTTTAATTTTTATTTTGTTCCATTCATCTGGATGTTTTTATACTATGACACACTGCTTTTTAATTGACAGAAATAATAAATATTGTCATTTATAAATATGTTTTGAAGTATACATACACTGTAGAATGATTAAATCTGGCCAGCTAA